CTGCAAAGGCCTACGAAGCATTGCTATTTCACATCTGCATTCCCCCCTTTGAGACTTAGTCTCATTTCATCTTTCCCTTAAAGGTTTAGGGTATAGTGGAATTGCTCCATTACAGGATAGCGTAAGCACTTCTTTTTCTTCTTCTTTATCCTTTTTCTGGCCTCTGCTTGAGTTACACCTTGTTTTATCCCTTTACACGCTAATTTGCACTGACGTGGAGGTAGCTGAATGTAACCAATATATACACAAACAGTAAAACCAATAATCCTAATGAATTATACAGCCTTAAGCAGTATTTCTAACTATCCTTCTAGATCTGTAAGTCAGTCCTACTAACCAAAATGTTTTTCTTCAGCTACTTTATGTAGGACTGTTGTGGCGTCCTTAATTTGGTTATCCTGAACTACCAGTAGCATTTATTGCCAGTAAACACCAATATTGGCTACGCAAGAAACAGTCTTGTTGTTCACACAGTCAGATAAATAAGGGCTGTCCAAAAGTAAAGCCGTGGTGTGTCTATTCTTGTGACCATCCGAAATGCGTTTCTGAGGTTGTGATATGGAGGAAGAGCTGGGTGGCAAGGTGGGGTTGCCGGATGCTCCTGGACAGACCAATTTCCACTGAGGGCTGTAAGGGCATCCTGGCTTCCAGGTCCTTGTTTGCAAGTCAGAAGGACTAAAATGTCTCCCAAATCCTTGATCGCAGCTTCTTCCCATAGCTCTTCTTCTGCTCAAGCCTTTTGTAGCTTTTCTATCTGCCTATGTTTCTAGCAGTAACATGCTGGATTTGCAGTGCCAGAGGTTTAGCTTCTCTGTTGGTCGCTTTCCACTCCAGAGGTACATTGCAGTGACTAGCGTTGGTGAAAGGCTAAATAAGAGGCTTAGCCTGCCCCCCAATGGCAATAAGCAGTAATTGCTCTTGAATTTTGAATTGCTTTCCTTGCACAAAAACAGCTGCCACAGCTTCTGGGGCATTTTCAGCAGCCTAGTCTATGCCAGAAAGCCTGTTAAATACCTCTTTCAGGCAGTCCGTGTAGTCTGCAGAGCGTTCGCCCTCCTTCTCTCCTTCTGTTTGCGGTTGTTTTGGCCCAGTCTGTTTTTCTTGGACAAACTGGCTAGGTTGCTTCAAGAAGATAGTCTTGAGCTGATGCATGTGCTAAGTCATTACCAGGAACATACAGAGACCAGCCAGCTTTGGTTACTGGTTGCTGTCAGATCCATGAGGCGTAACAGCCTGTAGGAGCTGGTTCATATCGGTACATTTTACACTGTAACAACTGCAGGAGTAATTGTGATAACTATAGCACTCTCCAATTCTTCTCCAAATTTTTGAGGTCTTTCCTTCCTTTTGGGAATTCTCTGACTGTTTTTCTTAAGTGTCCAAGGGTCTGTAGGGCATGAACAATGACGATATATCCTAGTTCTGGCACTTGCCTGTGAAGGTGCTGTGTGACAGCTTGCCTGTGATGGTGGATTCTACCAGCAACTGGATTAAAAACTGAGCATGTCCTGATAATACAAGGCAGGGCAAGGGAATATTCTCCATAGTCTTTACCTCATCCTATAGAAATTATTTGGGAACAAATGGCATAAGACAGCTCAAGGGTCAATAGACTTTTGGTGTTTTTCTAACAGTTTTGTAAGATGCTTTATTTGGTCTGTCAGGTGTTTTTCCAGAGAGTCTCTCTCAAAAGCCTGTTCTGAGATTCTGTTTTTCCTTTTGGATACTTTCTTTACCAATAATAATAATAAAAAAGATAATTCCATGTTAGCAAGCTTTTAACACATTTTAGGAGGAAAAACTGAAGAAGTTACCAAGCATTAGAACTGTTCTATTAATGATTGCCTTGGTTGCCTTTGACCTCTTAGAATCTTAACATGCTTTTAATCATGTTGCATTTAAATCATTGTGGTTCATGTACTAAGATTCCAGTGGCTTATATTTAGAATTATAAATATCTAAATAAAAATGGGTCAGTGGGTTTCATTTGATTTTCATTCAGCACATGGTGGATGTGTTTAGAATTTCTCATGCTCATGTTTCTTTGGCCTGTACCTAACCATCATGAGTGGTGCCAGTAGTGTTGTTTAATTAAATTTTGGTGACCAGAATGTTACTTTCTGCTTGACTAAACCTCTTAAGTCATTTACTCATTTCCTATTACATTGTGATTAGATTAATGAGTAGCGACCTTTCTAGGACACTTGATTTTGTGCTCAGCCACTCTGGCTAGCATCCTTTTTGATCTGCTGACATGAAAGAACAGGCACGGAGCGGCAGCCATGTCAGGATGGCCACGTCCTTCAGACTGTGCAGAGCTGTTTGTTAGGTAGGTTCAGCACATACAGAGACAAGAGCTGCAGCAGAGAATAATCTTGTTAATTAAAGTGACTCTAGTACCTTTTGATCTGCTTCTTTTCTGTAATTATATCAATGTGCCCTGGGGAGGTTAGTTATTGTGAGAGAAAGCAAAAGATTTTTCAACAGTGATTAAATTGTCGAGGTCTGATCATAAGGAATACTAAAAAGACAAATGGTTCCTTTACAAGAATCCCTATTGATTTTTATAAACAGAGCATGAGGCAAAACATAAAAAAAAAACCCTATTCTCCCTTTTATGGCTTAATGGTTATGAAAATAATTTAGAGCTGAAGATGTTATTTATGCACCCATAAGAAGTTGGTTTAATCACAGCTAATTTGGGTAATATTTCCTTGTAATTTCTGATAGAGAAATTAGAGAGTTGCCTTGAAATGGCGTGTCACTAAATTAGAGGAAAACTAGCTTTCCTCAAAAGCAAAGTAACTAGAGGAAAGCTAATCCTGTCATATCCCAGTGCTGCCTATGACATTCACGCTGCAGAGCGTTTTTTGTAAAAGTCTGTGATTGAGATATTCTTTCTTCACTCATATTGTTCTTAACTTCACCATTTTTTAGATTTATTTTTTCCCTTCAATTCTAGGCAAGTTTCATTTTTACAATCACAAGCTTTCCTGTAATTTTGTATTGACTGCTCAAACCTTTCTCTTCCCTTGTCTCTGGATTTCTAGGATTTCTTAGGGTTTTTTTCAGCCTCCCCTTGAGAAAAAGTTACCAGAATGATCTGACTTCCCCCACCCGCAGTTTTTGCCTGCCTTTTTTCCCATCTTCTGTTTCAGGATTGGAAGATGGATTTCCATCTTTTGTCATCTTTGCTTCTTTTGGTTGACTGTATTTCATTCTATATGATCTCCCTTTCAGATTCATTCTCACAAGACAACTATAGTTTGCTTTCTCATTTCCTAAATCAAATGCTGTCGTACACATTCTGGATGCTGCTTCTTCTGGCTCTTTTGTACCTGGATTGTGCTTCTGCTCCTCAAACGTTGCTAAAATGTCTGCTATCAAAATCTGTATTGTTTTTTGCTCAGAACAGGTAATCCACCTTCAGGTTCCTTGCTGTTCCAGCAGTGTAGTAGTACATTGTGTTTTTACTGGAACAGTTCTTCTTTGGCTTCTCAGACATTTTACACATCTATTTTCCCCACCATTTTCCCTGTTCCCCATTTTCTTCCATGAGGTTTCCAGGCCTATACTAGTTAGACTTACTAGTGAGGGTGTGGGTTTTTTTTGTTATTTCTTTATTTATTTTTTAGTTATTCTCCTCAGTTTCTAGGGTTATTTAATTTCTGTGTGATGTGGAAGAACTGTCTGTAACAGTGTGCTGTGGTTTAGTCTCAAATTTGCCTGTTTATTTTGTTCTTGTGAATTTTCAGATATATCAGACTAGCAAAGGAGAATGTTTCCATGTTGCGCATCACTCTATTTGTTTTTTTAAAACTTGCTGGGACCTATTCAAAAAAAAAAAAAAAAACAAAAATGAGTCTTTGGAGCCCCCCACTATGGCTTTTATGACACACTAGATAGAAATAGTAGGTAGAAAATGTAAGCTGAAAAGTTGAATTCAGTTGTTTCTTACCTAGTGAGTAGCCACGTAAATACTGATGGTACTTTTCTATGCATTTGCATGAAGTTCTCAGTGAAGGCTTCAGTAGACGATATTAGATCTTCTTTCTACATGTTCTTTCTACTTGGACACATCCTGCATTTGGGCTAACGATAGACAATGTTATTCTTTGTGGCCTTTTTTAAAATGCGGTTCTGGACAGTTGATTATCTAGAGACTTTGAATGAATGAGTGTGCGTGCTGTTAAACTTTTAGGAGCACCTTGAAAGCCACCTTTTGTGAGAATTTTCAGTGTTTGCTAATACATGAGAATATTGTATCTGTATTATGTGTTAATATCTTTTTGTCTTATGATGTCATGGAAGTAGTCATTCTTCTCTGTGTTTATTTCTAGGAGGATGTTTCCTATTTAGTTCAAAATAGTTCGTGTTACTTTTAGCAGTTACTAGAGCTAGATGGTTTCCAATGGTCTGGATAACCTTTCATCTAAGATGTTTGGAAAGAAATGTCAGAATTGTTCTATAGTAGCTCATAGTGTTTGCTCTTTTAAAAGTCTTGGGTAAAGGCCGTATCAGAGGAGTGGCAGAACATGGCAAAAAGCTAGTGCTGTGATTATGCAAGATAAATTTCAGTTAATGCTGGTTACCAGTTCAATGTGTTTTTCCAGAGATCAGCATTTAAACTGGCAGAGAGCTTGACATATAACTATATGAGGGGGTTGGTAAAAAAAAGGGTTTTGAAAAACCTTGTAAAATTCACTCACTATCTTTGGTCAGTGAGGATATTGATATAACTGAATTACCATAGAAAAGAGAAAGAGAAATGCTGAAAAATTGATATGATAAATATTAAATGGAAAACCAGTAGGTCTGAATATAACTACAGATAAGGAACTCTAGAGTAATTATTTCTTTGGCTTGTTTGTTATCTCCAAAAGTAATTTTTTTTTTTTTACTTGGGCCACAGGAAAGAAAAAGCTGATCGTGACAGATCTCCTATGTTAAAGGGTGCAATGCTGACCATTATCCTTGAGCAATCCAGGAGTGTTAGCGCAATGAATCTGCCGCCGAGCGGTAGAAGTGCCCGTGCAAGTGTCAAGGAGAGGCAAGGGGTCGATCCCTGCATGTGCCATCTTCAGAGTCGCCGTTCTGTTGTTAACAGACTTGGTTTCGAACTGGAAGTACAATAAAACCACCCCAGTCATGAGGTGAGACCGATGTGAGACAACCATCATGATCAGTGGCTAAGTTTGTTATGTGATTATTTTTAACATTTGGAACCTGGTATATCGAGAGTGCTATTTTATAGAAGATCAAAAAAGGTGATTTAGAGGATTCCTATGACTTGTTACTTGTATGGAACAGCAGAATTGTTCCACTCCAGTTTTGTAACATGGAAATCGTTTTTCTTTATAGTTTTGTATTCAGTATTACATATGCACAATTTAGGAATAATCCTTATAACTTTTTCCCTGAATTTCTAATAGAACTTGATATGGGACTCAATAAAATTGCTCATTAATAAAGAAGTGGACTTTTCAGTCTGTGAAATTATTAGGGTTTAAATGAGTCTTGCTATTTTTAACAGAAGAGTTTGCTGATCGTATCCTGTAATAGAGAAAATCTCCATTAGAATAGCAAAGAGCTCAGCAGTTAAATCCAGGTGTGCTGTTTCTATTGGAGACCTACATCTAATTCTCTATTAACATTGAAGTTCTTTTGGAAACCCTCATGTATGAAAAAAACAGGCAGCTAATGCAGATCGTTAAACTGCTTTTACATGCCTCCTGGAATATGTCATCTTCAAGGACATGGTACTTTTTTTTTTTTTTTTTCATCTATGGCCCCTTCATGCCTTATAAAGTTTAAGCAGAGATTTTGAAGCCTATGTGTGTGTTTTAAGCTCAAGTAGCTTCAAAGGGATCAAGGCATGTAAATAGCTTAGTGCTTTAGTCCCTAAAGCAACTTTGGTAATGACATGTTGACATTTATAACCATACAGTGGATATAATTTTTCAAACCCTATTTAAGCTGATTTTCCTTTAATATCGTTCTGTATGAGCCACTACTTTGGTGTTTAGAGGTATATGTTGATGTTTGCAAATATAGAGTAAGTAGCAGTTTTGAGGGGAGGGTAAACAATTCAACAAGGACAGATGACCTCTGGAGGTCCCTTCCAACCTTAAGCATTCTATGATTCTATGACAGCGCTAAAGCAATGGTGAGATGGTGTACCTGCAGAAGCAAGTGGGGAGAGGGAAGAAGCAAAACAGCGTGCTTATGTGCATGTGCCAGATAGTTTAGTGGATGTAATGGCATATAGCCAGATCGAGAGGCTGTGAGACCGTGATGGTTACATGCATTTGGATTGGAGACCATTAGAGGTTGTGACAGTTTTCTTCAGTATCCTGATAGTCAAACTAAGGAGATTTGGATTAGGTGAACAGGCTAAAAAGTGACCAAAGAACCGGCTGCACCAGTGAGCTCAAATGGTAGCTTGAGTCAGCAGTTCACAGTTCATTTGGCAGCTGCCTGGGAGAGGTCTTTTCTCAGGGATTGATGTGTCCAACACATTCCCAGCCTTGCAGGAGGTGCTGGAGGGTAGAGCTGCTATTCAGAGAGATGTTGCCAAATGATCTTGTCCACAGGAACCTCATGAAAGTCAACAAACCGACAGCCCCATGTGCGGGACCGAAGAGCCCCCGGTAGCCTTGCAGGGCTGGAGGCGCAGCGGGTGAGGGAGCTCCGTGGCTGGCGGCAGAGCGGGCTGGGGCGAGACGAGAGGCGTCCCGCGAGCGGGCAGGGCAGCACAGCGCAGCGCAGCGCAGCACGCGGGGCCTGCGCCGCTGCCACCGCAGCGGAGCGCGCGAGCTGCGCGTTCACCTCGGATGGGCCTGCCGTAGGGTCCTGTCTTGGACCCTCCAGACCAGGTGGGGAGAAAGATGGGAGTGAGTCCGGCGTACTAGAGTACACGGTGTATGAAGAAAAGCTATGGGAACTGGGTTTGTTCAGTCTGGTGGAGAGAGGGGTGCGTCTGATTTTGGCCTTTTACTGCAGTGGAGGAGGAGTTACAGATCCAGATTCCTACACTTACACAGACAGGACAAGAAGTAAGTCACAAGTTGGAATGAGAGAAATTCTGTTTGGATGTGAGAAAAACATATTCCCCATGAGCATGACTCAATGCTGGAACATAGTGCTCAGTAAGATTGTGGAATTTAATTCCTTGATGTCCTTAGAATCAGCCGAAGTCCCGAGCAACCTGATCTAACTTGGAAATTCACTCTGCTTGAAATGGGAAGCTGGTATACATGACCTGCAGAAGTCCTTTCCAATATAAATTATGTTATAAACTTTTTTTTTTAGTTTTTATACAGGTACTGCTCTGTACTGATCTAGTACTTGTAGCCTTAGCACAGGAAATGCTGTTTGTTTTTCAATTTAAAATCATACTGTTGTGGCCCATCTTGTTCCTGTCATTATTTTACTGATGTACTCAGGTGGATGCCATCTCTGGTCTTAGCTTAATTTTATGGCTATGCTTGCCAAATAAACTGCAGTAGTTATGCAGGAAGGTTCATCTATGCGTTAGACCCCTAACTTTTCTAAGCAAAGGAAGGTTTGGCAAGCTGTTTCCTCAGCAGCACTGATTGCAAAGTGCTCTGAGTAGTCCTCAGTTAGAACTCCGTATGGTTCTGGGCTCTGATGTGGTAAGTAAGTGCAACGTCCAGAATTTAAAAGCATTTGTGCTAAATTGCATATATATCTTAAGCAGCATGGCACTGAATCCTCCAAAAAGCTGTAGAATAACTTAATGAAGTTGATCTCTAGGTATGTAATGTGTGTGTAATGTGTATACTCAATAGAAATCAAAAGTTTTAATGTATTTTGATTATTTACTTTTAGGAATGAAAGAGTTTGCAAATTATGCCTTGCCTCATGAAATCTATCCAATAGTTTTGGACAGTTAGTGTGCTAATGGCTAGTTTTGATAGCTAGTTTGTTACTTTAAGATACATCCATTCATTTTGGTGAAAGAGAGTCAACAGTTGACAAACAACTAATAAATTTATGTGAAAATTGTAATGTTAAATTTTGAAGTGAAAGCGTACCCAACAGAAGTGCCTGCTGTTTAGAGATAGGACGCTAGAGTGCAGTGTCGCATCTCTGCAGTGCATTTTGACAGCTTGGAGCTATCAGTGAATCTGGAACGCAGCGTTTGTCTGCTTGCATGCTGCCTTTTTATGCAGTACTGGAGAAATGCCCTGAATGACTTTTTCTGAATGAAGAGAACTCCATTTTTTTACCACTTACAATAAAGTCCTTTTCTTCTATTATCTTTTTGTGTGTTTACTGTATTCACAAAAGAGTTTCCTAAAAATTAACCTGCAGCTGCCCTAATTGAATGCTAAAGTCTAAAAGTCAGAGTGGTTACAAAATGTAACAATTTTATCTTAGCAAAGTGTGTAAAGCTTTACTAGAAGTGATGAGTTAAAGACAACTTTAGCTGAGACATAAACATGAATACATACTTACTTAGTAAATTTGGTATAAGACATCCACATTTATTTTTTATGCTAAAGTACACATTGTAGTACTTGTGAAAGGTGTGGACTCTGAGACGGCTTTTATTAAAAACCAATGGCAGAGTTCACTCTTGACTGAATTTGGTGCAGGACTGGGCTTTTAGTTCAACTCCTTTCTCATCTCCTTATTTTAAACTGGAATGTTCTCTGTAAAGGTATTTAATATGGTAATATATTTTGCTGGTGACAAATACAACATATGTGTCATAGATGATCTTTAGGGAAGGTAATGTTGCATAGTTAACTCCTCTAGTGTTTGAAATGTAGGTTTATTTCTTATGTTGAGATTAAAAAGGTCCTTTGGTGACACTTGTCATTTTTATTGATACTTAGTCTGTATATTTTCGGATCAGGAGAAAGCTGTGGATGTAAAACCTAGCAAGCCTCGAAACAAAACCTATTGCCTTTCATAAACTGTGGCATGGAAGCTGAGACTGTTGGAAGCTTTTACTCTTGCATAGATTATTGCAAAGCGAAGTATTTCTTTTTAAATAGAATAAAAGCCATATGTAAAGCTATATAGGTAGTTTAACTTTTTAGATACATGATGTAGTTATGAAGGTAGTGTAACTTTTTCAGATGGTAGGCTAGTTTTATGCCACTTCAGTTGCTGTTTGGAAGACTGAATGTGTCTAAAGCTCCAGATAACCTACCTGTAATCCTTCTGTTTCTCCAGCTGGCTTTTCTCCTGCTCACTTCCATGGCCACTGTTTTATTTTGCACAGGGTAGAAAGAGCCTGTGTTCCCTGACTTGCACAGATGCCATATTGGGAAGGAGAAGGGGAGAAAGTCTGACTGTCCATGATATTTAAGAGTCCTCAGCAATGAGGCTTTTTAGGCTGGTACTTGGGGGCTGCCACTACTATCCCCCACTTTTGGGGACCCAGGCTGAAGAGTAGGCTGTCAGCCAGTCCTGACAGGTTGAAAAGTTATCTATTAATCATCAGTCTACAGCCATGTGTGTGTTTGGTCCTCTTCTAAATTATCACGAAAGTCTGGTGCCATCAAGTATTCAACTTAGTCGCGGTTCAAGAGAGCTGTTAGCTCTGCAGTGTAGTTTCCAAATGTTTTAAGCCAGTTGAGCCCTAAAGACGCTGCTACTTCAGCAAAGGAGGGGTGAACTTCCTGCTTCTGTTAAGGTCGTATGCACATGTACCACTGGCACTTATGTGGATATTCCACATGCCTTTTCAAACATTTGTGCGATTGTAACATAAACAGTGTTAGTGACAGGGGTAGTTGAAAAGTAGTTAAGTTCAGATGAGTTACAAGTCCTCTTTGTATTGAGGCGGTATTGTTGCTGTGGGTGTACTTGTTCACTTTTGAAGGAAACCAGAAGGAAGATGGGCAGCATTATTTTTCAGTGGAAATAGTGGCATGCATTGCAAAACACGCATTTGCTAGTGACCTAAGAGGAAGACAGGTCTGCTGTTTGGGAGTTGTGTGTGGGTGCAGGGCTCCCCAAAGATCTCGATGGCACATGCAGACATGGGGGGCAGGTGTCTCTTCCTGCAGAGCAGCAGGACAACTTCGCTGTCTCTTCTGAGTTGCTTTCCAGAAGAGTTGAACATCTCATATGTAATATTCATGGATACCTGTTGTGGTGTCTTATTCTTTATCTAAGCTGGTTTGCATATCTGGGATCTAGTAATTTCTGAATGCATACAGATTAACATATTTTCTGCTATACCAGGTATGAGCTTTTGGTAGAGGGCAGCAATCTTCATGTCAAAGAGCCTAGACCAGAATTTCTGTTTAAACAGCAACTTTGGGTAGGTTCTGCTAAAATCATATGTGAGAAAACAGTATGGCAAGAGGAACTGTGAAAAACCATGTGGCAAATTTGATTTGTGTTCCTCCTTTTTTATTTCTGAGAAGTACTCCTTACCTTAATTTTTTGAAGTCCTTCATCTTTTTAAAGAGAAATTGACGTTAAACAAAACAGCTGACTAATACTTAAAAGAAAGCAAAGAAGTCCGTGATCAAATTGAACAGAAAACGTTCTGTTCTACCATGGCTTGCATTTCTGACTTCTGCCTCTTCTTCTTGTCTTCCTAAAATGTAGCTTTCTAAAACAGCTTCTGGCCGTTTGCTTGACATGGTGTGCTTTATTTTTCCTGCGTGTATGCCCAAGTAATTCCTTTATTCGTTTGGTTCTGTTTGATGTGTTATCACTTTGGAAAAACACACTTTTTGTTAAACTGAAGGTGGAAAGGAGCTTTCCTTAGGCTGTGTTAATATTTTTCTAATGTTAATATTTCTTTAGTATAATGTTAATATTCTCTAATATCCACACTCCTCTTGTATGTGTAGATACTGGTCTTAGCAATGGACGGATTTGCATGAAAATATAAGTACAGTGAAATTTTCAAATTATCATTGCATAGTTATTACTCATTGCTAACCTAATACAGAAGTTGAGTTACTGTTGGGAATATTAGGTGCCTCTGGATGTCTTATGCACAATGTTAGATACAATTTAATATTGAATACGACTTTTTTTGTCTGTAAAGTGAAAAACTTGCTGAAAATGAACGCATTGACAGTAAGACTGTGGAGCAGTAGGTGGCACTGGCGTTGCATGGGATTGATGTGCGTTCCAAGGGCTCAAACACTGAGTACGTAGCAAAAGCACAGATTGCATATAGGGCAAAACCAAACTGTGTTCCTAGTAATGTTTTAAAAGTAAGAAGTGCTGTACTGATTTCCTGTGTTATGAGTACATGCCTTCAGCTTTATTATTTAGTGTCCTCTGACCTGCTCCATTTTCAGCTTTATATGTTCTGTTTTAGTAAAGAGAATAAAGTAATGGGAAAATTTCTAACCAGGGTAAGGCAGACTGTCATAGATGCATTTGTTGCAGGTAAATCCAAAAGGCAATAACTCTAATTCTAGTCAAGTAACTGCTCACAATTTTTCACCTTTTCATGGATAATACCTTAGGCAGATGAATGTGTTAGACTCCATAACTGGACTTTATAAAATCCTGTATATATAAAATTCAAATTCAGTGTCTCATCACTTAAACAGTGGCAGTGACATTAATTAAAGAAGGGCTAGAGATGAAAACTACAGTGGATCCTCTTTAAGATTCTTTATTTCTGTGATCATTCTGTGTTCCTGTATTGGAATTAGTTTATACTGTTTTCAGATATTTGTCTTTTAAATTTTGTCTTTTTGTCTTTTAAATAAGTTTTGTGTGTGTTTCAGCTTAAAGCACAACTGGATCTAGCTTTAGATCATAATGCCAATGCCAGTTTCTCATTTCCTACTTTTTATTCCAAAGACTAAAAGGACGCAAGCATTTGGGGAAACAAAGCTCTTCAGTTTGAAGCAAGCAGTCAAATGAATGCATTTCTGTAGTGTTACAAAATATCTTCAGCTAATGGTATCCAGTGTTCATTTGACTGAAGAAATATTAACTTAGAAATGTTATGTGCTTTTCAAAAATATTCTTCTATTTTTACATTGTGCTACTAACCAGAATGTTTTGCATATATGCAAATGGATCAAGTATCCAAGATACTGAATCTTTATTGGTGGATTTTTCCTTCCTGGATCTGCTGATTCCTCTCTTCTCAGGAAGACAGGAATCTTGCACTACACCTTTCTGGTTACGGAATTTGCTGGAGTCTTTGCTTGTGGCAGCCTCTAAGCTTCAGAGAAACAGATGAGAAATTATAAGGCTAGCAGGGGAAAACTTCAGTTTATCACCGTAACCTTAGTGTTTCAGTATTAATGGCTGAGTTCAAATGGCATTACTGCCTCCCCTTGTTCAGCAAATTTAAGGCTCTGTTAATTGTCTGGCATCAAGCTTGTCAGTGTGCCAGCCCTCTTGCCAGACTGTAGATGCAAGATACACAAAATGTCAACAGTCTCAGGCTCATTAGTTTTTGGCGTTCCTGGCCTCTCTGTAATGAGTCCACTGCTGTATAAGCAAAATCCTTTTGTTTTATTAACTCCCACTGGGTAACAGTGGAAACTGTAGCCAGCTGTAATGTATGCAGTTAAAATAGCTGAGTGTCCTCCAATTGATTTGTTCATTTCAGGTATTACTAGGGAAAGCTACCTGCCAAGATGTGCTTTCATATAATATGCTAAGAAAATATACAGGGTGGATATTGTGTGCTTGGCTTTTGTGTCATATGTTGTCTTTTGAGTTTGTGATTTAATATGCAAAGCAGACATGATTAAGAAACCCCCCTTAAATGCTCCCTTTTTACCCCAAACTTCTTTGTTTGCCCTTTCTTTGTGACGCAATTTATCTGTTAAAAATTTATTTGTCTTGAGAAATGGTTGTATTACACAACTGGGAGCACTTAAGAGAGTCAACATGGATGTTGTCCACATCTATATTATCTAAAGTATGTTGACTTTTGTTGAC